TTTCTGCTACATCATTTTTGTTCTGCATGTTGGAATCCTGAGGTCTAGACACATCCCACATTGAACTCTATTACTTCTATGGGTGTAGAAGCACTGGACAGAGCAAATGACAAGAAGCTGGTTGTATGCCCCCTTACTCTGAGGCCTAGACTAGTGCCAGGAGGCCTTGGGCTACATGAACATGCTTCTACTTCCTATCGCTTGAGACAAGGGAATCGGATACATTGAGATATTCAGAAGGCCACTATGAGATTCCAAATTTAGTAGGGATTTTTGGCACTGATCCTCTGGTTACTAAGTAAGGTCAAGGTCATGCACTATCTATCTTTGCAAAAGCATCATTATCTGAATAATCTCCAGGATCCTGGCAAAGAATAAAGAAGGGATGCTTCCTTTTCCTTTCCCAGGCCTGGCCATCTATATACTCGGGACTCTGCTGGACATGTTAAATCTAAGGTTAGAATATTCTTATTTTAGGCTATAATGGAGCAGAATCCTGATTGCCTTGTTTTCTCCAGAATACGATATGCCTATGAATAAATGGTGACTATGATATGGGCACAAAAATCAAGCGATAAATCAATAATTTGACTAATGCTATAAATTTTATTCTAAGTCTAATTAACCCAACACAAAGCAATAGTTTATTTTTTCCTTTTCTGCTGTCTCAATGAACTTCCCTTTTAACCAAAAAACCCTGTTTTTATATTCTCATTTCCCTCAACCTTGGGCTGAAATACTCTTGTAGATTTTAAAGCTGGCCCCTGGAATGCAGGGAAGCCAGCTGAGGCATTGTGGAAACTCTGTGACCTGGAGTTGGCATTAGCTTAAGTTCTGGCTCTGCTTCCTCCTCACCCGATGATCTTAGGCAAGCAAGCTTTCTGAATCTCCAGGGTTTTTGAATATATAAATGAAATAACTTATAAAAATAACTTACAAATCAAAAATTTTTAAATGCCTCATAAGAACATGAGGTTTCCTTATCTACTTTATGTGCTATGGAATCACCTGTGATAGCAGGTGGGGGATTAAACTCCATAGGTCCCAGGTGGGATGTGACGTCATGCAGGCTCTGCTTGGCCTCATAGAGTCTGCAGACTAGTCCAGGAGATCAGCTGGGGGAGTAAACAAGTGTGACAACCAGGGAGGGGTTGACAAGAGTAGGAGAAAGACACAGGTGCTAGACTTTCTACTCCAGGCTCCCAGTGAAAGAACAAAATTGATAAAGCCAATTAATAAACATGATGAAGTCCTTCGTCCTCTGCAGAGGTGCAGGGCTGACTAGGAGGGGACCCCAGTGGAGCACATTCTTTTTGTTCCTCTCAGAGTCTTCTAACAAAAGCCCAGTTGTGTCTGTGGAGCTCTGGATGTGTGAGTCCCAGCTAGGAGGCCAGGTTGGAGGGATCAGGGGCCTAAATGGCAGGAGGGGATCAGGGAACCCAGCTGGTGAGTGCTGAGGCCAGGAAACTTCCAAATACTCAGGGAGGGTTAGGCTAGCATTCATTGGCCTAGCCCAGCAGAACTCGGGTAACACTGGCATTCTGGGGCTCAGATTGAGGTGATACACTGCATGTTTCATCAATCCTGCAGAGATGGTTGTAGAGCTTAACAAGATGGGGTGTCCATATCCAGTTACGGCTACCTTGTTGGCATCCTGGGTCAGTGTAGAGACAGAGAACCCCTGAAGAACCAGAGCAGAGCTGTCAGTGCTTACCTCATCAGCCTGGATACTTTTAATAATAATAAAAAAAATTATTGAATAGATGCAATGTGCAGGCCTATTCTAGTCCAAGAAAATAAAGTTGAGTAAGAGATAGGATGTTTTCTCAAAAACATTCCCATATCGGGGAAGAGAGAGTCCCATGTGCAACTGGCCATAGTGAAGATGTGACTATAAGGTGAGCTCTAAAGAGAGGAGGAGAAATGGAATGGAGGAAAAAAGATGGGTCAGGGGTAGGAGGAGCTAAATAGAAGAGGCAGCATTTCAACCTGGCCTTGAGTTTTGACAGACTCAGGCAGGTAAAAGGGATTTCAGGCAGAGAATGGCTTGACAGCCCATGCCTCAGTTAGGGAAATGTGCTCTGGTCAGAGCATGGCCCTGGTGGACTGTAGGCAGGAGAGAAATGGTGGGTCAGATTTGAAGAGAGATTGGGCTCGGACTGTGGAAGACTTTGAAGGCCATATTGAGTGTTTGTGCTTTGTTCAGAGGATGGAGAAGACTGGAGAGGAAGGGGTGACAGAGTAGAAAGAAGGTGGAACTTAGAAGGTCTGAGAGTCCTGGTTCCTCTTTGTGGCTCTGTGACACTTACCTCCCAAAGGGCCACTTAACTCCTTTGAGATTCACTTTCTGAGCTGGACAATGAAGATGCTCATCACAATGCTCACTCTACATGCTCAGGGGTGATTGTGTTCCTCTGGTCCTAGGTTTTTGAGATTTTTCCTTTGGCAATGTCTTAAAGTATTAGCTCCTTCTTGTCAAGCCTTTCTGGATTTCCCAAGAACTTAGTTGAAAAAACCAAGACACATGCATATGAAAAGATAAAGTAGCACATAGAAATATGCTATATTATATATTATATGGAAATGCTGCAGGCTCTGCAGATGTGTGGGATATAAAGAACTTGGACTCTTGGAGCAGACAGTTCTGGGTTCTAATCCTAGCTCCATTTCTTATCTAAGCTTGATCAAATTGCTTAATTTTAAAGTTGAGGGTAAAAATACCTTTTCTACCTTCTTTTCAGAATAGCTGTAAAGATTAAATGAGCAACACACATGAAGGGGTGTGGAAAAGTTAGAAATTGCTGCACAAATGTTACTCACCATGGCTATTTCTTGAGGTTTGGAAGTGATATGATCCAAAGATATTTTAAAAAGATGACTCTAATAGCTGTGAGATGTGTGAAGTGAAGAAATGGGAGACAGGTGGTTGAGGGTCCACGTAGGTGCTGTGGCAATAGTCCAGGCAGGGGAGGATGAGGTCCTGAATTAGGGTAGGGTGGATTCAAGTGCCCTTTTGAAACTAGAACCTATAGAACAGTGGCACTTAACTGGACAGGAGGATTGGAAAGAAGCAGTAAGGCAAATGTCAGAACTTTGGTGGATGGTGACACTGTGAACCTCCCCAACCCCTGTTACAAATACCTGAAATCCAGATAAGGGGAGAAGAGGCATCCCAGGGCTTCACTGTTACCCTGACATTCCTGGCCCCGGTTACTCTTCATTTTGACACTCTCCTTCCCTCCCCACATTGGCACCTTATGTAGAAACCCCTGAATCTGCAGCCAGACACAGAAGAATGTGTCCTGTCCCCACACCCGCAGCTTGACTCACCATTATAAACACATCCCTTTCTCGAGGAAGCCAGCCCTACCTTGGCAGGAGGGCCAGGTGAGACCCAAACATCTACAAGTCCCTCAGTATCTGATAGGCTGACCTCTCCTCTTCCCCAGCATTGTGTCTGGGGTGCTCACCTCAGCCTCTGGTTCGTTTCTTCTTCCTTGGAGAGGAGGGAGGATTTTGTAGGACCCACAGTGTCTTTCCAATCCTCCTGTCCAGTTAGTGCCACTGTTCTATAGGTTCTAGCTTCAAAAGGGCACTTGAATCCACCCTACACTAATTCAGGACCTCATCCTTCCCTGCCTGGACTATTGCCACAGCACCTACGTGGTCCCTCGACCACCTGTCTCCCTTTCCACTTCACACATCTCACAGCTATTAGAGTCATCTTTTTAAAAGATCTTTGGATCATATCACTTCCAAACCTCAAGACATAGCCATGGTGAGTAACATTTGTGCAGCAATTTGTGCAGCTGGACTCCCTCATCTTCAGGTTGTGCCTCTTTATTTCTGGGGATCCCTTGAATAAGTGGGACAACTTCCAGGGCAGTGGAACACCTGGCCATGGTGGAAAGCCCTACAGAGGCAAGCAGGCAGTCCAGCTTGTAGGGGGGTTTGCTGGGGAGGTTTCTGTAGGAATCCAAACATGAAGGACTGTTTGTTCATCCCATTTCCTCACCCACTGAATTCGATCCTCTTCCCAGAGAATTCTTGTTCTCCCGGGGCTTTGGTCCTTTCATTCTCAGGGGTGGCTCTGTTCCCTCTGCCTGTTAGCAGACTCGGTCTTCTTCCTGATCTTCACCATGGCTTTCCTCCGTCTCGGCTCCCTCTGCCCCGCTGAACCTCCCCACTGTCTTTCTGCTGGGTACCAACCCTGTCCCTTTCTTATTTAAGTGACACCATTCCTCTTTAATCCTTCAGCCCTCAACAGTGTCATTGGTCTTCAGTGGCATCCCTTATTGAGCACCACAACTTACTGGACACCCAAAGTAGCACAGCATTATGGTTAAGGTTCAAATTCCAACAGGCTGTTTCACCTAAGTCTTGACTTCTACATCTGTTAAACGGTAATTTTAATAGTGCCTGCTTCAGAGGATGCTTGTGAGGGTAAAAGGAGTTAATGGGTAGGAGAAACTTCCTACCGGACTGGATCATCGTCATATACATCAGTCAGTGTTGTTATCAAAAACACCAAGGACAGCTTTGTCCTTGAGAGGGTGAAGGGCTTCCATTCTACCTGAAGAGATGGAATGTTGTATTTTTAAACCTAGTTTGTCACATGACTAAGAAAGACCCTTTCAAAATAAAGTGAGTAGGGCTGGGGTTGTGGCTCAGTGGTAGAGCGTTCGCCTAGCATGTGTGAGGTACTGGGTTCGATCCTTAGCACCACATATAAAGAAATAAGGGCCCTGGGAAAAACAAAAAAAAAAAAAATTAAAAATAGAACAAACAGGGGGTGTGGTCCTGATTGGTATGCCACCAATCTGGGCAGGTCTCCTGTGTGAGGCTGAATGAGGCTGACTCCTGTTTAAACCTTGAAGAAGATCACATTGCAGCTTGGGATAAGGGGATGCGGATGTGAGGTGTACAGAAATACTTGATCACCCTTTCTGTTTACCATGGTGGTGTCCAAACCCAGTGAATTTGGCCCTTTTTGTCCACAGGGAATTTGCCAAAGAGAGGGAGAGAGTGGAGAACCGAAGAGCGTTCATGAAACTGCGGCGTCAGCAGCAGATAGAGCGGGAGCTGAATGGCTACCGGGCCTGGATAGACAAAGCAGGTGAGGGCTGGAGGGGCTGGGGCGGGTGGCACAGCCATTGGCACCTGCCCCTCCTGATGCTTCCAATAGCTTCATTCAAGGGGCAGCCTAGCTAGAGCAGAGAGATGCTCTGGGTGCCTGGTGAGCAATTTGGGTTCCCTGCTGGTACCATTTTCTTCCTCTGGGGTCTGATTGTCCCTGTCCTTGTACTAAATATTGTTCATGAGGTAGGCAGTTAACAAGGTGAACTGAGTAAAACCTAACATAACTCAGTCCTAGAGCTGCATTTGGGTTGGTGATTTTTTTATACTCTTCTTCTTGTTACTAACAATCAATACCTTTAGCAAACATATATTGAGCACCTACTTTGTGCCAGGCTTTCTCAGGAACTTGGCAATGATGAGCCAAATGGACCCCAAAATTCATATCTGGTGGAGTTCATTCTCCTCTAGTTGGGGAAAGAAAGTAATAATAATAATAATAATAAAAAAGATAAACTTGAGAAGAGGATACTGTTACCAGAGTTTTAAGGCAAAGGCCTTGGTTCCAAGAGTCCCAACAAATTCGGTTCAGGCTTGGCCACCATCCCAATATGTCAATCAAAGAGATGAGTGGTTCTGAAGTGGGTTGAAAGAGCTTTAATCAGTGTGGCCACATTGAGAACAGATAATAGAAGTTCAATCATCTAAGATCTATCTTCAAGGGTCTAATGGGAACTTTGAGTTTTTATAGAAAATGAGAACAAGGCAAGGGTTGGGGGCTTGCATGACGGGATTTTGTGTAGCTGGTGGAAGAGGTCACCTTGGTCAGGCCATGGTCCCGTGGATTTCCTGTGAACTCCAGGAAAGCCATCATTGCCTGAGGGGGCTCTTCGGTTACCATGGTTGATGATTGCTCTTGCTTAGAAGGTCAGCCATGGTTCCATTATGGGGTGATTGCTTCCTCTCAGGGGAGCAATCTCCTCATGGGGTTCTCTGTTCTATGCACTCACCATTGCTTGGGGTAGGTTCAGTTCCTTGTTATAAAGATGCTTATCTATCAGACCTATTGTTCCTGGTTTCCAAGTCAACTGCAGAAAGAAGAAAGAGTCAGGGACAAATAGAGTTGGTGGGTCAGGGCCTGAGCCCTCCTTTTGTAGGAGCAGTGGGAGAAGGTAGGGCTAGAGGCCTAGGATGTGCTGTGATCCTATAGAGGGGTTAGACAGGCCCGTTTGTGTCAAAACTTAAAGAAGATGAAGAAGTGGGCCCCAGGAAGATCCAGAGGAGTATATCAGGGACAACTCCCTATTGTGGGACAGAGCCAGCAGCGTACCTGGAGTGGCACAAGTGAACAAGGAGAGGGTGTTAGGAAGCGCAGTGGGGACAGTCAGGGGTGGGCAGCAGTCACATAGGACCTTAGGAGCCATGGTAAGAGCTTTGGACTTAGCGCAGCACTGCCATGCTGACTTAAGATTTTAATGAGCACGTTGCAGCCATCCAGGTAAGGGGAGAGTAGAAAGAGGTGTTTTCCTAAGGCCTGAGCTGTGACCACTTCTCATCCCATGGCCCAGCTCTAGGAACGGCCAAGTCCCAGCTCTGAGGATCGGCCCAAACCTGTCATGATTTCATCAATACCCAGAGCCACCAGATTCCAGTCTGACTGTGGCTCCACTCATCGATCATCCTCTATCTGTCCATGAAAAGAATGCATTTGCTTTCATTATTACTTTGAAGTTTGGATTCTATCAGTTATAGATCTTCATTTTCTTTCAGAAAAAGTGATATTTTTAAATAAAAAAATATACACATGATGACAGTCAGCTTCTTTCTTTATTCCTGGTAGAAATCATACCATAGATGAGGTTATGTGGGGAAATTGTGATGCTGGGTTGCCTTCACTTTAGTCTTCCATGGGAGCTGTGGGATGCCACTGTCACACACTAATGCGCAAAAGCTCTCTTGATGGTTCTGGAGTCAACTTTTGATTATAAGGGCTGAGAGAGTGCATGTATGATTGAAATTCAGGTAAACACTCTGGTTCAGGACATGCACATTTCCTTGTTTCTAGAAGCATGAGCTGTGCGTGTGGACTATACTTCCGTTTCGCCCTGTCCCCACCAAGGCTGTTTGGGGGTGAGGTGAATATGAACCTCGCCTACCTCTTGCCAGAATGGTAACTCGGCCTCACCCACGGGAGGGCTTGCAGATTTGCCGCGAGGCCAGGCAGGCAGCTTGACATTCCCCACTGTCCTTGGCGTCCTTGGTGGAGGAGCCATCTGACAGACTGCTGAGTGAGCTGGCAGCAGACCCAGAAAAGAACCTTCCCAGCCCTGATGGTGATCCCACGCAGGGTCAGGTGGCAGGGCGCGCCATCTCAGATACTTGCAAAATTCCAGGGCTTCCCTTTCTTCCAGTTAGCAAACCCAGCACTCTCCTCCTTCTAAGAAAAAAGACGGCACTCACTGTGACGTCAAGTTGTGCTTCCTGGCCCTTCCCTTTACAAATGGAGCGTGAGTGAATCAGAGACATATGGGTTACATTTCCCTGGAAAGACAACTCCAGTTCGAAAGAGAACTTGGCAAGAGGCATTGGTGGGGGAGGGGTGGTTTCAGCACATCCAGAGCCCTCAAGCGCTTCCCAGAGATCCTCAGCGCTCCCCACACCTCCCCTCTGCCTGGAGGTTCTCAGATCTTCCCATCTTAAAGCAAGATACTGCTGCAGAGCAAAACTGACTCTCTGGCTAAGGTAATTAATGTGGCTATGAGGTGTTTTAACAAGGACCTAATTTTAAAGCGATGCCCTCCAAATAACATGTGCTATAAATGGCATTAAAAGGCTAAATATGTGTGCATGGAGGTGCACCCCACCATAACACTTAGCCTGTAAGCTTAGTGTTTCGCCAGAGGCTGCACTTAAAAAAGAAAGCTAAACATTTATGACTTGCATAATGGCCATCCTGCATAGTAAGGTCCAAGTCTCAAAATGTTCGCTTCCCTGGGAAATACATTATATATTCTGTTTTATATTCAGGTGGAGTTATGGTAATGGCTGTACCCTCTCCTATTTGCCCTTTTACAAGTTACTTGTTACAAGTACTTAAATTAAACTATTATTTAATAGGGTCTGCTTAGAATTCCCAGCAGCTGGGATTTAGGGTATGATTGGCAAGGCTTCCAGCTCTCTGTCCTAGGTGTTGAGGAGGGGTGAGATCAAAACTCGTGCATCTCACTGCCAGGAGGGCTCTCGGGAGTCCACCAGATTTGGGGCAGAAGGGCTATTTTATCGGTACTTCCTGTAGGGACGCTAGTGAGGTTTATTGCCATCTGAGGAAAATAGTATTCCTCAGTTAATGTCCTGTCTCTGGAATACAGGACTGCTCACCAGCAAACAATACCAACTGATTCTTCATTTTTCCAACACCAAATGGGTATCTCAAGAGTTTGGTTGAACTTTGATCTTCAACATTGCCCAAAGCTAGCATGGACCCCACAGGTTAGACAGTCCCTCTAGACTGTCTCCACTCCATATGCTGGAAAGAGGGGACACAGGTGACCTACATTTCTCCCTGACTGTATATTTGAAAGTCCCATGATCCCTGCCTCCACTCCTGACAAGTTCAACAACTTGCTAAAATGACTTATAAAGGGCTCAACTCGGGAATTGCGATCTGTGAGGCAAGCTGTGTTTTGAGGAGGGTGCTCACCACCCTCCCTGCAAATGGATGTTTTCACCCAACCCAGAAACTTCCTAAACCATTGATCTGGGGGTTTTATGGAGATCTCATTACATGGGCATGCTTAGTGTATTTAATGCTTACATCACTGGGCACTATTGATTGAACTTGATCTCCAGTGCCTTTCCCTCCCCAGATGTGGAGATGGGAAGACACTAAAGTTCCAATTCTCTAATCATATGGTTGGTTTTTCTGTCCACCAGCTATCCAGGTTCCCTTTGCCTGCCATGAGTCTCATTAGCATAGAAGAGAGCGCTTTGTGCCAGGAGCTGAAGATGAAAACCAAATATTTATTTGTTATTATATCCCAGGATAAATTCACAATGGGCCCAATCTTTGGCTCAAGCTCTGCGCATCCAAGGCAAGACAGAGATGATGGGCCACGAGGAAGCAGCCCACAAGTCTCGCTCCCCTCTTTGGGACCTTTAGGCCTCTTTCTTCATCCCGTCCTAAGAGACAGGGCAGAGCTAGAACGTGGTCTCACCTCCTGGGTGAGTAGGTAGGTGTCACAGCCTAAGGGACATCGATCGATAAGAGAAATAAGGATGATCCCATTACTAGAAAAGTGTTTAAGAGATTTGAAGAGAAAGAAACAAGTATAGAAGGAAAAAAAAAAGGTCTAAAAAAAGTTCCTTATCAACTTCGAGGATGTAGTTAAAAAGACCACCTCTTCTCACCGCTCACGGTGTGCCCCTGAGAGGGTATCAGGAACAGGGCTGAATTTTTCAAACCCCAGGCAGCCCCTCACTGAGACCCCTTCCTGTTCTGCTGTGCACCCTGTGCTCCTGGGTGGCACTCAGGCTCTTCTGTGCTGGCACATGTGACAGACTCTGAACCCTGTTGCCTTGAGCCAGCGCTGTCCCCAAGGCATCTCCATTTTGCACCATAATTTGGCATTAACAGATAATTTACTAAACCATTTCTTTTTTTCCATCTAGAGGAAGTCATGCTCGCTGAAGAAAATAAAAATGCTGGAACATCAGCCCTGGAAGGTAAGGAAGTGTTCCAACACCCTGCTCCGTTTGCATTTGCCCCTCTTCTGAGGTGGCAATCTCTCTTGATCAAAAGAAGAGAAAGAAAGAAAAGAGGGGCGCGCTGGGATTTGAGGCGCCAGTCTCTCTGTAATAAAACCCCTCATGCTTTAAAATGAAGGGAATTGAGTCACAGATTTAAATGCCTTTTAAAGTGATGAAAATGAAACCCAAGAGTGGCTTTGTTCCAGGGCATGTGATTGGTATTGTGCAGTGCAAAGACCATCATCCAACCAGTGGTACAGAAAGGAATCTTGTTTTAAGATTTGTGGGGATCATCTTGGGACCACTTTCATTACTGGGAAGTGGCGTTATTTATGAAGAGCCAGAACACGTAGATACGGAGTGTCTGTTCACCTAGGGCATCTACACTAGCTCTAGCGAGGATTCCAGAGCTCTGGAGTTTCAGCAGGCGCGAGCAGCATAGCCCTCATGGTTCTGTAGACAGTCTCGATTTCTGTCACCCTGGCTCCAATACTAAAGGCAGACGCCTGTGTCACAGGGTCCTTGCATAAGGCCTCTCGCCTACAGCCCTCAAAGTTTTGTCCAGGATGATCTGGGTGTACTTGTGGCCTCTCACTGGCCTTCCCCTTCCCTGGCGTAGTGCTTCGAAGGGCAACCATCAAAAGGAGCCGGACGGAGGCCATGACCCGAGACTCCAGCGATGAGCACTGCGTTGATATCTCTTCTGTGGGTGAGTGATCCAGTCAGATCTTCTTTTACTTCTCTGGATCTCCCATGAAAATGAAGATCCTGTCTTTTGAGAAGAACCACAAGGAGGAAAAGAACCCACAGGATCCAGAACTTAGGGATGTAATTAAGGGAAAGCGTGGGAATCGGATCTAGATGGCAGTGATTTAATTGGAGGAAAAAGAAAAGGAAAAGGAGCAGGGAATGCTGTTTATGTGAAATGCGGGGTTTAGGGTTCTCCAAGTGTGGCCCTTGTGTCTCATTTGCCAAGGTATCCTCTCTCTCCTGGGTGTGCTCCTGAGAACCCGCTTTGGGATACAGGCTGAGCATCCCTGATCTAAAATTCAGAAATGTGAACCTTCTTGAGCAATGATATGGTGCCACAAATGGAAAATTCTACACCATGGAATTTTGTTTCTTGTAAAAATTGTTAAGAATATTGTATAAAATTATCTCCAGGCTACATAGGTAAGGCGTATACGAAACATAAATGAATCCTGTATTTAGATGTGGGTCCCATCCCCAAGATATCGCATGATGTGTAGGAAATATTCCACTGACTGAGAAAATCTGAACCCTGAGATGCTTCTGGTCCCAAGCATTTTAGATAAGGGATACTCATCCCGTGTTCAGGATGTTGAGGATCTACCTATTGCTTCTAGTGACCCAGACGTGAGAACTTGGTCATTTCCTTAACCATAGTAGCACTTACTTCCTTCCATCATGTGAAATTTGAACTAATTCCTCTTAACAACCCTTTGGTATTTCTGAAGTTCAACCCCAGGTTCTCTTACAGATTCTGGCCAATGGCAGGTTTTTCCTCCCAGAAAAGGGCAGGATCTCACTCCATCCTTAAAAGCAGAAGAGACTTACACAGCTTTCTGTCACACGTAGCAGCAATATCACAAATGCAGCAGAAGGATTCCGGTGTCTGAAGCGTATTTAAAAGGAAAGAGCAGAGAGAAGCCCAATCTTTTACAGACAGACATGATCCCATTAGGATTCAAGACACTGGGTGTTTGCCTGCTGTCCTGCCTGGGAGTCTTTTGATTTTTCTAGGCCTGAGTCCCGGAGAGGAAAAACAGGGTTTGTGCCCGTGGAAATTACTTAGCCTGTAACATAGGGATTTCCCAGGCCTGCAATGTGGCGGTCACCTTGCCCTGGGACTCAAGCTGCCCACCTTGCCCTTTGGCTGCCTCCTGGCTGTGGAGGGTGATCCTAGGATGTTTCGCAGCCTCATTCTTCCTCCTCGTTTCCCCCGCTTAGGTACGCCTCTCGCTCGAGCCAGTATCAAGAGCACAAAAGTAGATGGGGCCTCCTATTTCCGGCACAAGGAAAGGCTTCTGCGCATCTCTATTCGTCACATGGTTAAATCCCAGGTGTTTTACTGGATTGTCCTGAGCCTGGTGGCACTCAACACTGCCTGTGTGGCCATCGTCCATCACAACCAGCCGCAGTGGCTCACTCACCTCCTCTGTAAGTGAAGGGTGACTGCTTGGCCCCTCCTGAGGGCAGATGATTGGGACAGGAATGAGTGTCAGAGAGCAAAGCATGGGCAGCCTGACAGCCTTCCGTTGGCCCAGGATTCTGTGCCTTTATACCGTGAGGGAGACCAGAGTCATCTGCGAGGGGCTGGGCTGTCATACAGCTGCTCCCAGAATTCAGTTCTTATGGCATTAGGTAAACAAATCCTTGCTGATTAGTTTACAGGATGGGTTAACCCGGGGTATTTACTAGGAGACCTTTGTGGAATCTCTTGAGGAGACTCAATGTGAAAGGACTTCCTATGACGAAAGTCCCAGGGAGAAAGTTCTTGGGGCAATAGATACTTCACATGGACCAAAAGGTCAGCTCTGGGTAAGACTGCCACTGGGTACAACTGAGTCCAGGAGTTACTTACAGGTGGGTGGTGGGAGGGCAAGTCCAATTCTTCCATCTAAGCCATGATAAAGTTCTTTACTTCTCTTCTGAGGATCATCCTCCACTCAAAGACCAATGAGAAACCTACTTCTTGAAAAAGAACAAAGCCTGGAACCCATCCAGGCTCAGAGAGTGTCCAGTTATCCTAACACAGCCAATGAAAGTCCCTAGAGTGTGTTGTCATTGGCTCCTCTGGCAGGCGTGGTGGTGTTAGCTGGAGTGTGCAGGACCCCACACCATCTGTGACCAAATGCTTCTCCTTTTAACACTTTCAGACTATGCAGAATTTTTGTTTCTGGGACTGTTTCTCTTGGAGATGTCCCTGAAAATGTACGGCATGGGGCCTCGCCTTTATTTCCACTCTTCATTCAACTGCTTTGATTTTGGGGTAAGTCCTCGGAAGCCTGCCTGTCTTTCTGCTTTGTGTTGCCATGCTGTGGTTTTAGATAAGCAGCTTGCTCCACTGCTCAGCATGACCCATTGAAGTCAGAATTTGCAAAAGGAGAATGGATAAGAGGAGCTAGAGAGAGTTTAGAAGTGAACAGATCCTGGCCGTGCCAGGGTTTGTTTGGGTTTTTAAAGCTCTTTGGTTTTTCGTGTTTGTGTTGATGTGTAACACATAATACTAAGCATATAGCTCAATGAAATTTTACAAAGCTACCCATAGCCAGAATCTTGAACCACTTATTATCTTGGGGAAGTCTGGGAGAGAAGGACAAAGGACATAATTCTAGAGGTAGTTCTGTGAGAAAGCAAAGGTTATATATTTGGGTTTTTTTGTTCTATTTTTGTTAAAATTAGCATAATTATCCAGATAGACCCTCATGTAAACACACACACACGTGCTTTTATTCGCAAGTCCCCCCATAGAACATTTTAATCAGCTGTTTACTTTCTACCTAACTTCTAGGTGTGCGTCCCACCAGCAATCTCTAAAACGTTCACACTGTATTTTGCTCCTGCAGGGATCAGGGGAGTCCTGTGTGCCCTCCTGGGTGAGGGGAGTTGGCACTCTCCCTTTTTACACGGAGTTCCACAGGTCTGCACACCCTGTGAGCAGAAGAATGAGGTCACAGAACTTTGGGTTCCTGAACCCCTCCTCTTTCTGCCAAACCCACTTCTTTTTCTGCCAAAGCTTCAGTTAGGTGCTAAGGATTTCAAGCTCTTCTCAATCTACATTTTCACTTGGAACATATGGTTCTGAGTACAGGCAATTCGCAGGCATAACAGTTAGCGAGAGACCATTTTAACCTTGGTTTTCTCGTGTACGTACTTTTCAGCATTGCTGTAAGGATTAATTGATTATTTTTCTCAGCACAATGACTAATATTGTAGACAATCAATATGGAACTAAAACAATAAATTGAAGTGTTAATTTGTAATTGCTTCTTCCTATAACAATCCAACCCTATGTCAACAATCATTGTCACATTGGAGTGTGTGGGTCCTCAGTGACTAAAAGATATTTAACATAATGGGACCAGAACATTCTTGTTAACACTAAACTCTAGAATGATGAGAGAACATGGACCCTCTGAGATTTCTAAATCACCACATAATCTGTACTAATTCAAACTGGTTCCCAAGATGGACACATTGGGCCATACTGGTAATCCCAGCTACTCGGGAGACAGAGAATCTCAAATTGGAGGCCAACCTGGGCAACTTAGGGCATGGAGAGGTGAGTGGCAGAGTCATATTTTTCTCTGGTACTTTCACAAATTAGTAGCCCGATTGGAGGTAGGCCAGGTGGGGAGCAGAGTCTTAAATTCCCCATAGCCCAGAGGGAGCTGTTGATTGTGTGCTCAATACCAGAATGCTTCTCTTCTCCCTGCTCCCTCACTGCTGGCTTTGCCTCTTAGGTCACAGTGGGCAGCATCTTTGAAGTGGTCTGGGCTATCTTCAGACCTGGTACATCTTTCGGAATCAGTGTCTTGCGAGCGCTCCGGCTTCTAAGAATATTTAAAATAACCAAGTAAGTAATGAGAATTTGGACTCAAGCACCCTTGCGAGTAGGGCCTTTTCCTGCCTTATTAAGTTTCTTTCCAGCCTTCTTTTTTTTCCAGACCACAGATTTCCCTTCCCTGTTCCCCCTACTCCATTTTTCCAGTTCCTCCTCCTTCTCCAAAGAGACTAGACAGATATCTATGGTGCCAGCTCTGCTGCCTCATTCCCCCAGGGGGCGATGCACTGCTGCCATCTTCTCTTCCTGGAACTCTCCAAGTACAGCCTATTTTACAGACCCTCAGTCAGATGCTGACCTGGACTTGGGGATGGCTCGGTATCCAGTGTCCACAGCTGTGACCCTTTCTGGGTTTTCTAGGTACTGGGCTTCCCTCCGCAATCTGGTGGTCTCCTTGATGAGCTCCATGAAGTCTATCATCAGCTTGCTCTTCCTCCTCTTCCTCTTCATCGTTGTCTTTGCGCTGCTAGGAATGCAACTGTTTGGAGGCAGGTAAGTGCCAAGTGCCTTTCATCTGAAGTCCAGGGTCATTGATTCCATCAACCCGCTACCGTCTCATTTGCTCTGGTTCACGGACTGAATACAGCACAGTGCACATATGGGACAAATGTCTCTGCTTTTAGCCCTTCACACTGTAGGGGTGCTTGTTCTGGGGACCTACGCTTTTGGAGCTGTCCCTGAAGTGTACAACAGGGAGTCTTGTAATTGACAATCAGCCCAAACCCTGTCTTATTAACCACACCTTTCAAAGTGCATAGTTCATCAATACAAGTCACTGCTACCATCTTCATAAGGCACATGGGATGGGGTAAAGTAGGGGAAAGGGGAGATGTGGAGAAAGGAGAAAATGTGGTGAAGCTATGATCTTGGGAGAATGTGGTACACGAGATTCCCATTGCATTTTCCTCTCCAAATCTCCTTTTCAGGTTTAACTTTAATGATGGTACTCCTTCTGCAAATTTTGATACCTTTCCTGCAGCCATCATGACTGTGTTCCAGGTATGAGGTTGATAATCCAGAAATGCTGTGTCACTTAGTCCCCACATGAGGGACAACAAGGTCTTCCAGGGTTGGGAGACTCCATTTTTCCTCTCCACGCCCCTCCCAGGGAAGAGGGTGCTCTTCTTTTTAAACAATACCACAATCCCTTGGATTTCTGTGGCTTGGTTTTTAACCCATAACAAAAGAATTCTATTATGCTCACCTCAGTGTCCTCTCCCTACATCTGAGTTTGCATGACACAGAGTTGGACACATGCAATCAAATCACATTTGTGGTTGCCTGAAATCTGGAGCATCTTCTAATCCACGTGATCATTTAAAGAGGTTTTTTTCCCATGTCCCCTTCAAAAAAAAAAAAAACAAACAAAAAAAGCATGCTATCAACATTGATTGTTAGATTCTTGCAGATAAAAAAAAACACTACTTAAAAATCTGAGGCTAAACTGGAGCCCATGAGGCTCTCTTCAGTAATGCTACTATCTCTGGAACTAAGTATTGTCAGCTCTAGAAACAGTCAGGTATTGATCAGTCCACCTGATCTGTGTGAGTCCCACGGGGCCTGCCTGAGCTGGAGTTGGGAATCACTCTGTAGTCTGAGGAATAGAACCATTCGTTTTGATTTCCTTTCGTTTTCAATGTCCAAAATTCTCTTGTAAAACAAAAGAATGATTAGGATCATTCATAGGATTGACCTCACCCCCAGTAGGCAGACCAAGCAAGGAGGTAGATGGAAAAGATCCAGTCTTAGGATTTGCCCTTTGCACTGGCCCAAAGTCCCGATGTGCCTGTCCTTTGCTCTGTGTAGATCCTGACAGGGGAGGACTGGAATGAGGTGATGTACAATGGGATCCGCTCCCAGGGTGGGGTCAGCTCAGGCATGTGGTCGGCCATCTACTTCATTGTGCTCACCTTGTTTGGAAACTGTATCCTTTTGAGATGCTCTTCTCTGTACTGACACCTTCCTGGACCGGCACCTGAGGAGGGTGTGGTGGGAGACATGGTAGAGCTTGGGTGGGCAAGGAGAAAGGTCACAAACGTTGCTTGGTGTACTAGAGGAAATATGGATTCTGGTCTTTGAGAACTCGTGTGCTAGTTCTGTAAAGAATACAAACCCGAGACAGAATTATCTAAAGCTACAGTCTACTCAAATAGTCACAAACATGTCCATCATGTTGAATGGTCGGAGAGGCTCTGAATGAACATAATACAAAAGGACAAAGATCATTGTAGGCTGAAATAATGGATGGATTTAATACTGATGAATTAATTAAATGATAATATAAAAAGTCTGCCACATAGTAAAATTTAAAAAAATATTAGTATTATGATTAATATTACTCATGCTAATTAATGCTAATACTGAGCATTAATAACATAACATTATAAAATAACATAACTGTTATTTTTGTGTGACTCCCTGGACAGCTTTCTTTTTATACATTTCTTTAGTTTATAGTCTTCCTCTGAACTCTGTAAGTTTTCAGGGATGTGCTTGCTATTCAGCATAACTAATATTTATTGAATTTATACTATCTGTATGTGAGGCCTTACACTCTGTGCCATACGGGCACATTTCATCTAATCCTCACTTTATAAGGAGGAGAGAAATGACCTGATGGGGTCAAGCAACAGCTAAATTGTGAAGTAAGATTAGAAACAAAATCCTCTAGCTCCAAAGCTTATATCTGGTTAAAAGATCGAGACCAGGAAGATTTAAGTTTGAATCCCAGCAATCCTGCTTGCAGGTGTGTGGCCTTGGAAAAGTCATTTAGAGTTTTTGTTTTTCACATCTCAAGGGAAAATAACAATATTGCCTCTGTTCATAGTGAATATCTAATAAGATAATTATTTGACTGTACCTTAAAAACTGCAAACTACCATGTGATGATTAGATAACCTGGGGGAATGGAACTTGCCTTGAACTGGGATTAGTATTGCCAAAAGGGAGAGCCATGGCTGTAGTTTTGCATTTTCTACAGTCTTATGAAAAAGAAATACTTTAAGTTTTTGCCCTGAAAACTTCTAGAGATCAGAGAAGACTATAAACATGAGAAACTCTTAAAAAGAAAGCTACAAAATGAGTCACAAAGATGGAAGGCCAAGTTGTCACAGTGGCACCTTAATTTTTCCTGTTATTCTGAGGATAGCCAGAGTTGGCCTTTTATGCTAGAATCAATTTTATGTTCTGCAACACTTGGGTCTTGAAGACAGAAAATTGGGGATTCAGGGGCTAGAGCGTGGAATAGAAGTGGATTTCATAACGAATCGTGTCTGTGCTATAACATTTTGTTAAATGAATCGTGGAAGCCTCCTAGGACCTGAACAAGAAGAATGAGAGAAGCAAGTTTTAGGGTACCATTATTGAGAGTTGCTCGGTGACAGGGATGTGGGATCTCATTTCCTTTCACCTGTAGGGACAGAATAATGCCCATTGGTCCAGGCGGGGTTCAGTTCAAGCCTCCCAGGAAGGAGAAATGAGCTCCTGCCCTCAGCTGTCTGCACGTCTTGTTCTGTGATTCTCTTGCCATTTATTGCAGTGAGTCAGACAGCGTCATCTGGAGGCCTCCTCGCCCCACGGGGCCTCCTAGGTGGTTTGCTTCAGACATTCTTGGTCCTTTGTGAACAGAAGATATACAGAAGGAGGAAAGACATGTCCTCTTTCTCCTTCCAACAGCATGGCACAGCATTCCCCCACCCCCAACCCCACAGACCCTAGCATCTTTTCCTGCCAGTGTCCAGGAGGGATAGACCGAGAGGTGGCCTCACAGACTTGCCAAGGCTTTTGCTTTTCTCACTTATCCTTAACCCATAACCCCAGACACACTACTGAACGTATTCTTGGCCATTGCTGTGGATAATCTGGCCAACGCTCAGGAGCTGACCAAGGTAAGCCTCTGGGAATCAGATGGTTTTCTAGTACCATTGGGGGGGACCCTGGCCCTAGGAACTCTCAGGAAGTTGCATTGCATCACTGAACCTACCAAGGAGACCTCTTCTGGAAGCTTCTGGACAGTTGGAAAGTGACATATTCATACAGGAAGCATGGTTCCCTTTTGCTGAGTTTGCTAAGTCCAGACCAGCCTGGGGGTCCCATGGGCTATAGGAAACAACAACTCATTCTGTGAGTCCTCAAAGGGATCCTTTCCAGGATTATGACATGAACAGTCAGGGGAAATTCTAGAGCTCTGAATTTTAAACTGCACCTCTTCTACAGTGATCTGTGAGTGTGACCTCCATCATGCAACCTAACCTTTAAGGTTTAGGTTTGGATGTGAGAGGAGTGGGGTAAGGCAGTTCTTGCTGCTGGGGTATTCCAATGGCCATGGTTATTCTGAGACAGTGTCAATGAAGCAAGACACTACATTTCTCAAGAGCTCTTCCTTTCTTTCCTCCTCCTCTTCTCTCCAGGGGAGGAGATGATGCAAATTGCAGTGGGGAGGTCTAAGGAGATGAGTGAAAACTCTTCTCCCCCCACAATACAAATTTGTTTGGGGAAGAGGCACAGAAAATGCTGGTAACTTTGTTCAGCTTTCCCCTTGTATTCTCTGAAGTGTTGCTTGCTCTCCTTCCATTGCTTGAGGGTCTTATCTGCCTGGTGTGGTAGGAAGGATACCACCAATAGTATCTGAAGGCTGGGTTTGAACCCCACACCTGGCACTTACTGGCTGTTCTAGCTTTGGCTAGACTCCTGATTTCTAGAGCATCCTTTTCTTCCTATGTAAAGATTGGAATGGTACATCTCCCCTGTTGGCCTCACAGCATTACCCCAAGGATCAGGTGAAAGAATGTGTGTGGAAACTATAGGATGCTAGGGAGATGTGTGTGTTCTTGATGCTTCTAGTCACTCTACCTGAAATAATTTTCCTTGATGTCATCATTTATGAGTAGGAATACAGGTGAGGAAATGAAATCTCTGCCTAAGAACCCAGGGTGGAGCCAGTTAGCTATGCAGGGAAGTTGCCGTGATGGGGTGCCAGGCCTCAATGCTTGCTTTAGGGGGGCTCTGCGATAAAGAACTCTGCTCTGTCATATCTAAACACTGCAGGACATCTGAGAAGTGTCACCTCTTGCCACTGATCTCTATAGCCTGGGCCAGCTCTGCTAAGGGCTCAGGGAGGGGTGGATGTTTATAGGTCTCCTGAGCAGCTTATGGGGGGGGTGGGGTGCAGGGGGCAAAGGAGCATTTCTGGCCCTGTGGGGCCTGTGAGCCTCCTGGCTCCTAAGGGGCCTGGTCTCTAGTCATCAGGTCTCTAATGCTGCTTCACCTCAGGCTGCCTTGTTCACCCTCTTCCTTGGCTTGCCCACTTCTCCTGTTCTTCAGAATGCCCTCTGGGGACACCTAGAGGAAGCTGCTCTCCTTCATGGGGATCCGAAGCAAAGCCATCTCTGCTTTCTGTCTAGGATGAACAGGAAGAAGAGGAGGCCTTCAACCAGAAGCATGCACTGCAGAAGGCCAAGGAAGTGAGCCCGATGTCCGCGCCCAACATGCCTTCCATCGAGTGAGTCCACCGCCCCCTCTCCTGACCCTGGGCATCTACTGTACCAAAGCCAGTCCATCAACTCATAAAATGATGGATCGTAGGAACGTGCCTCCCCCATGCCAGGAATATTCCTGAGAACGCAGCAGCACACAGGATGGAAGTTTCTGTTCTCATGGAGAATGATAATAAACCTGCACATTTCAGACAGCAGTAAGTGTGGCAAAGTGAGCAGAACAGGTCGTAAGGCAAGAGTTTGGGGGAGATTCCTTAGAGGGACTCTCTATGGGAGGCAGTGTGTAAGCAGAGACCTAAACCTAGAGAAGGCACTTGGGTGACATTTTAAAGGATGTATTTCCCGGCAAGGACCAGCATGGCTGAGGTGTAGTGAAGGAGATGGCAATGCCAGGGAGGTGGGCAGGAGCCAGCTCAAAGGTACCTAACCCCCAGGTGAAGGAATTTAGCTTTTATTCTAATTGCAGCCACTGGAGGGCTTGCTGTGGGAGGATGAGGAAATAGGATTGACACTTCAGAAGGTCATTCTGCTCCGTGGAGAATGGGTTGTGGGGCCAAGAGTGGAGGCAGAGAAACAGAGTTGGTTCTTAAAGTAAGTGATGGCGACTTAGAGGGGGGTAGTGGCGATGGAGTCAGTCAGAAGTAATCCCATCCGGTCTGTGTTTTGGAGTGAGAACCAATGGGACGAGCTGGTAGATTAGATGCAGCAGGGGTGAGGGTGATGAGATGAAGAAACAAAAGTGGCTCCCAGGTTTGAGGGTTTCGAAGCTTAAACAGCTGGGTAGAAGGTGGTGGTATTTACTGATCCCCTGGAGATGGTGGAAATCTAAAGTTCATTTTGGCCACATTAAATTTGAGACACTTCTAAGGAATCTAAGTGTTTGGATAGGCTATTGGTTACAGGAGTCTAGAGCTTAGAAGAGAAGTCAGGATTAAAATAAAGATTTGGAGGAAGTCATTTGCATTTAGATGGTATTTAAGCCATCAGTGTGGGTGAGATGACCCAGGGAGAGTGGGAATAGGGAAGAGAGGAGCTGAGGACAGTGGCTGAGCATGCGCCTGCCTGCGCTTCAGGTCTGCCAGAGAACTCAGCAAATGAGGCTGAGGGGGTGCAGCCAGGAGTCGGGAGAACAGGGAAGCTGTGTCCTGGAACCTGTAGGAGAAACCCTGAGGAGTAGGAGTGGCGCTACCTGCTATTCAAGGACCGCTTAGGATGGGGACAGAAAAGGGACCGTTGGATTCAACAAGAACTGTTAGTGACCTTACGAGGAGCCAGGTGGGAACAGAATCCAGGTGGACTAGATTGGGGAGAGAAGGGGAGGCGACAAAGCAGAGGATTCAGCCTGGATCCAGGGCTAGAGGTAGAACTAGGGCCTTCAGCCTGGGCCCTGCAGGGGCCTGGCCTCTCCCTTGTGAGAGGGAGCCATCTGGGAGGAGGGGCTCAGAGCCTGCCATTGCTTTGGACCTGCCTGAGGCCTGTGTGAGTGGCCCAGAGGGCATCGATGGGGCGGGTCTGAGCCCCGTGGGAGGTGGAATTCTATCCTGACACCAGACCTTGTCACTCCTTACTTGAAGCTGGTAAGGGAGGAGTTCTTGATGACCCAATGTTTGTGGGAAGTTCTCCTGACTGGACTTCCGCCTCCCCTTGTAGGGATACTCCCAAGTTCTGTGTGGGGAGGGGAGTCCCACATAACCATCATCTTTTTGCATTGTTCAAAATTGCAAAGGCCTGGCCTCCTGTCCCCTCTTATGTGAGTGGGAGAAAAAAAAAAATCATCAAAGATGGATGAGGCAATGCCAAGTACCTCTTCAGAGTATTCTCTGGGTCTTGAGTGATTTCTATCTACCTTCCCTGAACTCATGAATTTGGGCTAAAACTCATGCACAGGTATAAAAATGGGGATGGAGAGGACTGGTTGCTGCTCATGAGTGGGTGGCTCTATTTACTGACATGAGGATGCCTGGGGGAGAAGTGGGTTTGGAGAGATGTGATTTGGGACAGTGGTTGGCCCAGAGTAGAAACTCGCTATTTATGGAAAGAAAGAATGAATGAAATGTGGGTAGGCCATGTGCCTCAGGGCACAGTGAGATAGAAGGTGCTACAAATTTTCAAGGTGAGCCAAGACCTGGGCTCTAGTTCCCACACATGTGCTGCGAGCGTGTGCTGTTGGCCATGGTAACCACTGGGGGTGTGTCCTACTGCGGTATGCAGGCCAGACCCCTGCTTTCTGGTCTGCGGTGTAACTAAGTGCAAATGACTAGAAAGGAAAAATGGGAAGGGCATCATGGCAACTAAAGGTGTCAGAGTGCTGGTCCTAGTTCTGTCACTTATTGCGACTTCAGAAATTCTATTTCCCTATCTTTGAAAGGGAAGGGTGCCCTTTGCCCTTCCTGTTCCACAAGGCTATGGTCGGATGTCCACAAGGTCACATTTGCGTGATTTGAAGATGTGGTTACTTCTTTGTGTGGTTTTCGGCATGAATGTGAATTTGGATCTTTGTCTATGTGAGTAGAGAGGCAAAGGAGAGTGTGAAGTGTGTGTCTGATGTGTGTGACAATCAGAATTTGGCTTCTCTTTGGCCTGGCCTGGGTGTGTGTGTATGTTTGTATGTCCGTTTTTTTTTTTTTTGTTTTGTTTTGTTTTTTTGGTGTATGTGAGAGAGACGGAATCCTTCCATGTACTCACACCTTTACATTCTTCTGGAGAGCTGGCATTTGAATATTTGAAAATTTGCAAATAGATGGGATGTTGTGCTTTTCCTGGCGGGCTGTGCCTGCTGCCTGGAGTGCATGTTCTATTTCCCTCTGCTGCCCGTGCTTCTCGGCACCCCACCCAACCTGTGCCTGGTGGCAGTGCGGGCTGCAGATGCTGAGGGGTGTGTTCAATGGAGGTGCTTATAGGCATCTCCACAATCTCCACCACAATGTCGGCATCAGTGGGTGCTTGTGTGCATACACACACTGGGCCTCCTCTAGACACCCAGAGGGGGGCTCAGACCAGCTGCCTCTCTTCTCCCTCAGGCCTCCCCTTGGATCAAGCTCCTCTCTGGACATGAGTGATGTGGCAGGCGGCAGTGTTAGATCGCATAGCATGATCTGCCTTGGGGGTGGCGCTCTCAGGGAAGGAGCAGCAATTTCCCACCTCCCAGGTCCAGCAGGGCCCACTGAGCTGGGCCAAGTTCAGCAGTCCAGGGGCTGGAGCAGACTTGCTCTAAGGATATCCTAGATGTGTTGTCTTCCTCCTGAGCATGGACCCTGTGCTGACAGTCTCATTTCACCACACAGCCTGTCCACTTTCACAGGTGCCATCACCTCTGTCACCCTGACCTTCCATTAACCTTGTGTTTATAAGGACAGTGTGTGTGGGGAAGAGAGATTTTTTCTGTGTAAGATTAAGAAGGTCGATACTGTGCTTTACCCATTGAGCAGACTGAACCTCTGGCCAGGGCATCATGCTATGCAGATGCAGAGGCACTACTTACATCTCGGAGGATGTGGATGGTGGCACATGGTAGCCCTGCCTTTGGCCATAGGCTGCTCTAAGCCTCATGGGTATGCATGGCGGAGCATTTATTCCCTGCATGTTTTATGAGATGGAGTCAGGATCTGCCATAGGAGTGGCAGGTAGGGGAGTCACCTATGTGAATGTGCTTTGTTATCTGGAAATGATCAGGGAGAAGGGATAACTGCTCATCAAAGTTGCTCAAATAGTTCTCTGAAGGATGGGCAGGTGGAGGTGTGAGTGCCACTGGGCATGACGTTTGAGCATCTGTATGAACTGATATGACCTCTCTGTCCCTGCATGTGTGCTTCAAACATGAGATCCATGTATTTGCTAATAGCAAGGACTCAAAAGTCGCCACTCGGTTGGAGCAGTGAAGATGGGGAGTCCACAGCACCTGTGGTGAACCTGCGGACTGCCGAGGACTCTCACCTCCCTCCAGAAATCTGCTGGTGGCTGTGGGGCTTGAGCTTCCCAGAGGTTGGGGTGAACTGAACCTGTTCATTTTTCTTTCCCAGAAGAGACAGAAGGAGAAGACACCACATGTCGATGTGGGAGCCACGCAGCAGCCACCTGTATGTGTGTACCGGTTTGCGTGTTTGTGAGTGGTTCCGTGTGGGTGTGGGGACAATGTGTTTTTGTCCTTGCTGTGGACAAAGTGGCAGTGGGTGTGCATGTCAGCGTGTGCCTCGGCGTGTGTGTGTGTTCCATGCCCATGACCTGTGGACGTGCCCTTCTGCACCTTTCAACGTGTGCTTCTGTCAGCGTGTGTCAAGTACGCGGCCCTGTGCGTTGTTGCTCTTGTGTGTGGCCTGTGAGTGGGCATGTGTTGGTAATTGGCACTGGGTGTTCCCCCCATAGCAGTTGTGTACATCCGTGTGGGCCTCGGTGAGGGTGTGTGTGGGTACATGAGAGTCCCCTTGACAGTGGTGGGCGTGTGCCCGTGACATGTAAGGAGTGTGTCTGTCCTTCTGCCCTGGGAGCCCTCTCCTGTGCGCTCTTCTGCATGCCTCACATCTGCATTCCCACTGCCACGTGGTTGCTCCTCTAGGCCTGTGAGCTGCAGAGCTCAGGAGTGATTTTGAGCAGGAGCTGGTGGTCGTCTCTGTGTAGACCATTTCCTATGGGTTTTATCAGCTCTTGTGCAAGAGACCCACAGGCCTCTCACTTTGGGGGGACGATGTCAAGATTTTTGCTACATAGATCTACTTGCCACTGTTCTTAACCTCTGTTGGTGTGTGAGCATGGTCCGTCTCCCCCCTTGCTATTCCAGGCTGCAGTCTAAGGGAAAAGCAAGGGAGATGAAGGGGAGGAAAGTCTCTGACCTAGAATCCAGGGCCATTGGTGGGTACGGAGTGGGCTCTGGCTGATGTCCTGAATCCAAGGAGTACCAGGGAGCGAGGGCCTTTGTACAACTGCCCTCGTAGACTCTGGGGACGTGGGAGTTGGTACTAGAGCTGATCCCTCCCCTACCCCTTGGCTACTGCAGAACGGGGATTGGAGGGAAGAGCACCGTGGACGGGACTGGGAGGCATGGGTCCTTTGACCTACTATTCATGGCCACTCTGCTCCTTGCATCTCTCTGTGCTTCCTGTCTCAGGTCTGAGGCGCTCCCATTTGCTCCCCCACCTTGTGCCCCATTTGCTCATGGTCCCCGTGGCCGCCCTCCTTGGCCTGTGGCTATTGGGTTCTGATGTGGTGCTCCCCATCTCCCCTTGCCAGGAGGGAGCGGAGGCGCAGGCACCATATGTCCGTGTGGGAGCAGCGCACCAGCCAGCTGAGGAGACACATGCAGATGTCCAGCCAGGAGGCCCTCAACAAAGAGGAGGCCCCACCGATGAACCCCCTCAACCCCCTCAACCCACTGAGCCCCCTCAACCCGCTCAATGCTCACCCCAGCCTCTACCGGAGGCCCAGGCCTATCGAGGGCCTGGCCCTGGGCCTGGGCCTGGAGAAGTGCGAGGAGGAGCGCATCAGCCGTGGGGGATCCCTCAAGGGGGACGGAGGGGACCTGACCAGTGTCCTGGACAACCAGAGAAGCCCTTTGTCCCTAGGCAAGCGGGAACCACCTTGGCTGGCCAGGCCTTGTCATGGGAATTGTGACCCCACCCAGCAGGAGACTGGGGGAGGGGAGACTGTGGTGACCTTCGAGGACCGGGCCAGGCACAGACAGAGCCAGCGTCGTAGCCGGCACCGCCGGGTCAGAACAGAAGGCAAAGAATCGACCTCGACCTCCCGGAGCAGGTCTGCCAGCCAGGAGAGGAATCTGGACGAAGGGGTGCCTGCCGAGGGGGAGCAGGACCGTGAGCCCCGGGGAAGCCACGGGGGCAAGGAACCGACTATCCACGAAGAGGACAGGGGCCAGGACTTGAGGAGGTAAATGAGTCCCCAGAGTGCCTAGAGGCAAGTAGCATAGGACAGGGTAAGGAATTCTTCAACAGGAGGCTTTCTCCGCCCGTTTCCCCTTTAATAAAATGGTAGATGAGGCTGAAATGCCCTTTAGAAGGTATGAATACATATCACAGGCAATGGGATCCATCCCCCTGAAGACGATGTCTGGTCTTCTCAGGCATCTCTGCTGGGGGTGGGCACAGATGGAGGGACGGGAATAAGGCAGTGGATGTGGCCTGCGGGGCTTGCCCCTCCACCTGGCCGAGTGGGGCTGGAAGGCGTGCTGCTGTGTGTGCTCCAGCAGGCCCCCTCCAGCTCTGGCCACCTCTCCCTCCCTCTCCAGAACCAACAGTCTGATGGTGTCCAGGGGTTCTGGGCTAGCAGGAGCCCTCGATGAGGCAGAAACACCCCTAGTCCTGCCCCAACCTGAGCTGGAGGTGGGGAAGGATGCCACGCTGACGGAGCAGGAGCCGGAAGGCAGCAGTGAGCAAGCCCTGCTGGGCGACGTGCAGCTGGATGTGGGCCGGGGCATCAGCCAGAGCGAGCCTGACCTCTCCTGCATCATGGCCAACACTGACAAGGCCACCACTGAGAGCACCAGCGTCACGGTCGCCATCCCCGAAGTGGGCCCCTTGGTGGATTCGACAGTGGTTCACAGTGAGCACAGTCCCTGGCCCCTTTCCACCCACTGCCCACCCCACCCAGGGCCAGGCACAGCTGGCTCTAGGGTCCTTGCAGCAAAGCTTCATAGAAAGTCCCCACCAAAAGTTCTTCGGGTAGAACATGGTGGTGGCTTTCTTTTGCAAAATGAAAAGGTTTTTTCCTCAGTCTTATATTTTGCCCATAAAATTTCCTTAAGCTTTGGTCCTGTGACTAGATTCATCAGAGGGATCCTATGTGACTGGGTACCCAGTTCCATGTCCAGCTATTTGATTTAACTTTTGAATACTCGGTGGTGTTCTCTGTGACCTCTATGGTGCTTTGTCACCAGGGCAAATGAGGAGGGAACCCCTGCTAGGGTGCAGTGTGACAAGAGGGCTCTTTCTGGCCCTGGTTCTGCTCACTAAAAGTGGCCTCCCAAAACCTCTGCATCTCTCCAGACCTCAGTTTGGCATCTGTAAAGTGAGCCTTGAACTAGAGAATCTGAGGTCTTTCCCTGCTAACATTTTATGATTCCATTACTCTTTATCAATTCTTTTTCTCCTACGAGCTTTTAGTCACACTTTCTCTCTGAAGAAGTTCCTTCAGGCAACAGATGTTCATCTGTGAAACTTTAAAGGGAAACAAAGCAAAAAAAGATAATTTCACCCTTGACCCCATCCCACCCCACCCCTCCCGGCCTCAGTCCCCCCAGCTATACCCCCCTGAGTTGTTTTCCTTCCACTTTTCCACACTTTTCTTCCACACATGTCTTCTCCTGTTCCTGTTTGCCTTTCTTCCATGGCTTGCTCTCTCTTCCTTCATATTTTTCACAATCAAAATGCCAGTTCTGCTTTGAAAAGTGAAATCTCGCGTGTCCAGTGCTTCCTGGGGCTAACTCGGGCATGCTTGAGGACTCCAGACTCAGTCTCTTTTGGTGTCTGTTTGATTTTACACTTTAATAAATGTTTTGGATCCTCCTTCATGAGAAATAGCCCAAGAGAGCTTGACTGTCCCTCTGTTCCCATTCCAGGGCTAGTCTGTGGCCTTGGGCACAGGTATGTGTGTGATAGGAAGGCTTTTGGATACACCACATGAGTCCCCTTTTGGAAGGCCCCAGCGAGGTGCCAGGACCACAGAGGTTTGCTGCCCACCTGGGGTTCCAGGATAGAGTCACTCACTGAACAGAGTAGTGGGCGGGGCTGGCTGGGTCCCCCTCCCTATTCTGTTAGCCTCAGCCTCCAGCCATCTTCACCTATATGGGGACTCGAGTATGGAAACAGAACAGCGGCCCAAGACGTCTACTCATTGGCTGGCTCCATGGTCCTCCCAGCTTGGCTTGTAGTCACAGACCCATATTCGTATGACTACTGCATTCTCATCTCTACATTCACCACAGCTAGAAAAGGCACAGCCAAAAACGGCAGCTGCAAACAGAGTAATAGTTTCTTGAGATCTTCCCCTGCAACGTGATGTCATTGAAAGCATATAGGATTTTGAATCCCAAACCCATCCTAGCTGTATGACCTTAGGCAAGGTGCTTATGTCCTGGAACTGTCTGTACAATGGGAATAATAATTTATGCCACTCAGGGTTTATTGATATAAAAATTCAGTGAGTTCAATAAGAATCCAGAGTTTAAATATCTAAATTTTGTAAATTTTTCAACCATGCTGTTTGCTGGGCCATAGAAATTCAACTGTAAAGGAAGAGACGTGACCATTATCCTTTGTGTGGCATACAAGATTATGTCACATAGAATTTGGACAAGGGGAAGGACTCAACTTTATTATAGAAAATACCCCCAGTGTTTGCAGAGAGCCTGGCTGGGGGCATCCTGGCACCCCTTTCCCAACTGTGCTGTCCCCAACTGTAATTGAAGGGCACTGTGCCAAGTTTCTGAAAATTCCAACATGTTCCTCTTGCAGTTAGCAACAAGACTGATGGAGAAGCCAGTCCCTTGAAGGAGGAAGATATCAAAGAGGAGGAAGAGGAGGTAGAGAAGAAGAAGAAGAAGGAGAAGCGTGAGACGGGCAAAGCCATGGTGCCCCACAGCTCCATGTTCATCTTCAGCACCACCAACCCGTGAGACACTTTCCAGCGCTACCCCTTTGGCATGAGGGCAAATAACCAGGGTTTGAGCCAGAGTGATAGGAGGAGGGATGCTAGCCTTCCTAGTAGAAGGTGACCAGACATAGAAGCATCCAGGATCCAATAGGTGAGGTCAGCCGTTAAGTCAACAGCCTCTGAACTCTGTGCCCACAGTCTACAGAGTAACTGAAGATGGGAGAGATGTCATGAGAAAAGAACCCCTTCACCCATTCTTTGGTCAGTAAGTGGTATGGAGGGAAGGAGGATATTTACTTGAGGAGGTGTCACCAAACATCCCAAAAGGTAGCAGAGCTGAGACCATAGATCCTAGAATGACCACATCATTTCAGTGGGCATGCTCTCAAAGCAGAGCTTGGTGAATGAGATGAGGTTGTCAGGGAAAAGTCTAGAAGGTCAGGTTCAGGAAGGATAGGATTTGGAAGAAGCTACTGCCTTCTGCCCTGGAAGTGACATGCAGATCATCTTCTGAGACTAGGAGGACACAGAAACCTTTAATGGGCACACGGGTAGCAGGGTTCAGGTGGGACTCTGGGATGGGAGGAACCCAGGTTAAGCCGTCAGTCATTGTAAGGCTGGAAAGTAGAATATAGAATATACTTCCATCCCAATAGCCTGTGAAAACCAATTGCTGTTCTTATTAGGAATTTTAATTAGAATCAAGGCCTGTTTTTGTATCTTGGTTCCTTATAGTTTTCTGGGCAGGTCCCAGCTACACAGGGGAGAAGACCCTGAGATGCAGTGGAGGGCACTCCCTGGCCACCTGAGATTGTGTTGTGTAGCCTGATGCCATTTGCTCCTGTGGCTGTTGTGCTTGCGGATGATGGGTCTTGTCTTGTGTGTTCAGCCTCTAACCAATCTGATTACCTTCCTCCACTGGGGCTGATAATGAAGGGTGGTGCCTGAGAAATTAAGTTGCTCTCCCTGGCGGCTTCTTCTGAAGAGTGCCTGGCTGTGTGGAAGAGACCAGGGTTGGGTAGAAGGAGTAAGAGGGATAGGGAGGGGAGAGACAAGTGCCCAACTCAGTGAGGCCAGCTCAGCAGGTCTCATCTGCCCCACAGGATCCGGAGGGCCTGCCATTACATTGTGAACCTGCGCTACTTTGAGATGTGCATCCTCCTGGTGATCGCAGCCAGCAGCATTGCCCTGGCCGCGGAGGACCCTGTCCTGACCAACTCGGAGCGCAACAAAGTAGGTGTACGGGGGCCATTTGCTGATCTCTGTGGTTCTCTGGGACCTGCCCCATCCCTACCCCTCTCCTCCAGCTGCATTTGGAAGTGAGCAAAGATTGGCAGGAGGGTTGCTGGGGAATGAGAAAACATGGAGAAATTTCCCACTCCTGTTTCTCAGCAGTATGACCATTCCAGAGAAGCCCCTCACAATCCCCCAACCATACTGTATGCCTTTATGCTGCAGCTGTGGGTCTTCACCCAGAACCAGCCAGGGCTTGAGAGGGGGCCTGCAGCTACCTGCAGGCTCAGGGGGATCTGACAGAGTCTAGATTGATGCACGCACAAAGCGGGAGCTACAGCTTTATCACAGGGGGTTGAGATATCCCTGGGATCCCACGAGTGTATGTCAGGAGATCTGAGGGTGGCAAGGAGGGGAGGGACTGTCAATGATTCCAGATCCGAAATCAGAACTGGAGCAAGTTTTGTGGGAGGAATTCAGACCCAAAATGTTAAGTTCTGGCCAAAGAGAGGAAATGGTCAAGGACTGGCCACTGGGCCACGTGGCTCCAGCAGGCTTCAGGGCCCTCTTGTCACTACCTCCACCTCAATTCAACAGCGGTTGTAATTCCACACACCTTTGTTCTTAGGGGGAGTGGTGGGAGCCAGCGTAGTTGTGCAGGACTGAAGTGTACATGTACCCTGGTGGCCTATGTGCTCCTCTTCCCTCTCCCTGTGTCTTACAGGTCCTGAGGTATTTCGACTATGTGTTCACGGGTGTGTTCACCTTTGAAATGGTTATAAAGGTAAAAATCCTTCTGAGAAAACCTGGGCTCCAGGGTTTGGATGGGTCGCCTGTCTGCTCCTTGAGTTTAGGGTCTTTCCCCAATGATGCCATATAGTAGCTCATGACAGAGCCTTAGGAGAGTCTTTGCTGATTCCTTCACTCATCTCTGAATCCTGAGGACATCTGTGTCAGCGAGACATACCTATGTAGCTGTCTTTGGGCTGTACAAACCTGTACATGTGGCCCGAGTAGTGGGAAGACAGTGTTGTAGACAGGTGAACTTGAGTGAACTCTCCCCTCTGCCCAGTGTACTTCCTAGATTGAGCCTTGGCAGGTGCCAAGGCAAAGGGTCAGGTAGAGGCGAGATTTCCTGGACTCCGTCCAATCCTAGGTCTACTCCCTTCAATCACCATGATATCCCCCACCCCCACATGCCTATCTTGTTCCCAGTCTCTCATCTGGGTTTTACCCACCTGTGCATATGTGGCAAGGTCTGGAGCTCTGGGCCACAAAGAACAGGAATCTAGTTCCATACCATGTGGCTAAGAGAAAGGAGCCTTAGCGATCACCATTACCTGGAGCGAGCCTGTTGGACACCCACTCCTGCTCCTCAGGTCTCAGGGTAGGGTTGGTTGAGGAGATGGTGGCAGTAGAGGCACTGCCATGATGAGCCAAAGCTCACGACTGTCATCCGCCCTTGCTGAGCTCACCTGTGGTTGTTTATACCCTTGTCCTGCAGATGATAGACCAGGGCTTGATCCTGCAGGATGGGTCCTATTTCCGAGACCTCTGGAACATCTTGGACTTTGTGGTGGTGGTTGGTGCATTGGTGGCCTTTGCTCTGGCGTAAGTGGCTTGATTCCTATTTTGTTCCCTTTTCTTCCCCCTCTTCCTGGAGACTCTGGTTGATTCAAGGCCTTCTCCGTGGCCAGCCTGAGAAATGAAACAGTGGGTCCAAAGACTGCTGCCCCAGGAATCTGCTTACCACTTGTCCTCCACTGACCTCCTAAGGGCTTCACAGCTTCAGCTCATGTGACCTTAATACTCCTGCTTCCCCTGTCCTGCCAGAAAGCATCAGGAGGCAGAAGTCAGAGGCCCCAGCACATGAGGAGCTCAGGGTGTTGGCAATGCCTCCATGCACCTAGAAGCAGACCCAAGGACAGCAGATGTGTCTTTTCATTCTTAAGCCTATCAAAGGAACAGCTCGAAAGAAGGATGCAGAGGGAGAGCAGTTTGTGTTTCCAGAGTCCTGTGCACAGGGAAGTTTTTGCCCTTGAGTAGGGGTAACCAAGAACTAGTGCAGGGACATAAAGATCATATGGATATGTTTCATCTCCAGACATCACGACTTTCCAAACTCTCCTGACTACACACTTAAGAAGATGGTCTTAAGCCATTCAGGTGACTAAACCATGTTCATTTCATTTGGGGGACTTTCTCCCCCACACACATTGATACTACTGTAGCAGGTTTTCAATCATATTCTCATATTTTCTGCAGAACTCAGCCAATGGAGGGGGCTCTCCTAGCCCTCTACTATCCCTATTCTAGCTAAGAAATAGGGATACTGTTGGGGCATTTTGGAAACCAGGTGTTGGGAAGGCCCCAGCAGGACTGATGACAGCCTCTGAGCTCTGTCCATACCTTGTCCTATGGAGAGCAGCTTCTGTCTCTTCCAGGTGACACAGTAGAATTCCCTGAGCCATCCTTCCAGCCTCTTTAAGTAGGAGCCACCCCTTCTAAGCAAGGTGAGCTCCACGTTATTTCTGATGAAACAGAAGGAAGCTCGGCAGCATGAGGGAAGGGACAAGGTGTCTCCATAGGTTTCCTCTTTGCAGGCCTAAGCTGTTAGGAGGTCAGTCATCCCTCCTCCCTGCAAACACCACCAGCTTCCATTCCTTATCCATCCTGGCAGGAGAAAAAAGGTGGGGTGAAGCTCAGAAGCATGCTCAGAAGAATGCTTCCCAAGTAGGTGCACTCTGTCTGCAGGAGAGGGGAGAGCTCCCCAGCTGTGCTAAGAGTCGAAGCTCATCCAGAAGCAGAAAGGACTGCAGCAGCCACTGAGACCCTCCCAAAGAGAGCGTGGTTGAGTATGACTCTGAGATTGGCTGGCGGTCAGGATAAGTCTGGTGTGCCTTGTCCCCTTGTGCTCTAGTGTAGTAACCCCATTGGACTTGGGTGGAATTGCCTTTCCCCTCCCAAAAGGAAACTTTAATTAGACACGCGTGAACTGTTCCCCAGGAAATTTCACACAAGTATCACAGGTTCTCCCAGCAGTGTCAAAACGCCCAGATCTTCCTTGTCTCTCTTGGGAAGATATGTTAGTCTACCTTTGTCCTAAGGTAGCCCACCTTATTTTTGTTTAGAGATAAATAAAATATTACCCTTGAGTTCTCAAAAGGTCAAGTTACCTTCTAATTCTATCAGTTCATTTGCATGCATTATTCCCCATGTAATTCTCTCATTTTGACTCAGTAGAATAGTTTGTCTTTGGATAAAGGGTGAAGAGAGAACAGCTACAGGAAAGAACTCAAAGGAACTTGAGGAAGAATAGTGTTCACTGGGGTGGCGGGAAAGGTGTGGGCTGTGGAGTCGGGCAGAGCCTAGTTTGAAGATCAGCCCCTCTCCCTTCCAGCTGTGTGTCCTTGAACCACACCAAAAATATGAATCCTCCCAACCTCAGTTATCTCAAAAATGGAGACAAGATGTGTGAAGTGTTTAGCACAGGGCCTGGCAGTGTGAGTGATCAGTAAACATTAATTCTCTGCTTTATCCTTCTAACTCTCACTTCCTGTCATGAAGTCTGAATATAGGAGCTATGTATGTGATGGTGCATAATACATGTAGATAGTTGAAGATGGACTTGGGCCAGTCCAAGAACTGTGTGACTGTTTCTCACCCATCCGCCCCCACCGGTGTCCGTGAGCCTGGTAACCAAGCAGGTGTGTCGATGCCCGTGGGCGGCAGGTTAGAGGTGCAATTTAGAAGTCCCTGTGTGCTTTCCCTCTGCACAGTCCAGCTGTCTTTCCTCGGGCTAAGAGTTACAACGATGTGCTGTGGGCTTGTCATCTGTCTTGTTCTTTCTCTGTGCTCTTTGAAACATGGCAGTGGTGGCTTTAGTGCTGGTGGCAGGGGAAGCCTTAACAGCCCTGGACCTGAAGGCTCTCTCTTGGTCCTCAGACCAGGTACAGTGCAGAGAACTCCAGAAAGCCCCTGGGTTGGGGTCCCTGCTTATGTGATGGATTGACAGTTATGATCCATCACTTGCTTTTAGTGATGTCACTTCTCGAACTTTCTCTTCATTTCTCCCCAAAATGCCGCTGGTCTTGCCCACCCTTCTCCATACACTCTGTCATCATCCTTCCAAGCTTGCCATGCCTAGTCCCTCTCCTTTTCTCTGCTCATGAAGCAGGCCCCCTGCTCTCCCTTCGTCTGGTTTTTAATCACATTTGCTGAAGTCCAGGTAATGCTTTCTCTCACCCATATACCCATGCTTCCTAACTCTGCTCCTTCCCTTCTCATTAAGGGCACCAGAGAATTCAGCTCTACTATCACATTGGTAGGGTTAGCAGGACTCCCACTTGACAGCATCTTGAAGGCATGGTCTGGGGAAGAGAGCCCATGTCTCCCAGCGTCAGGGGCTCAGGCCAGCAGGAAGCCAACTGTGGGTTTTCAGTCTCTCTCCTTGTGGTTGTGTAACTTTGATCCTCATTGCCCATAGATTTGCCCCACAGAATGTCCACCATTCAGATAACCTTATTCCTGTCCTGGTTTCTTTGTATCCTCCTTGACACTGAACCATGCCTTGCCGAGGCTTCTGCAAAGGCTACTGCTCAGTCAGTTTGAACAGCTGATGGAGGTTGCCATGGTAGCACCATTATGTGGCTCCTCAGAAACCAGAGGTGATTTGGCATCCCTTCCACCAATGCCAGCCAGAGCCTTCTCAGAACCCAGTCTGACTCACAAGAGCAGTGTCCCTCACCAAGGGGAGGGAATAGCCTCCAGCTGAATTCTCAAAGAAAGCTGCACTGTCCACCAAGTCCTGTCGCAGAGATCTGCACCTGCCGTCACGTGCTTCCTAAAGCTTATGTGTTATGTATGTAGTTGCTGGAGAGAGGTCACTGTTCTCTGTAGCCACATACATACTAAATTAATTCTTTATAATGTAAACCTGCCAAATTCCGTTTGGAAACTTGACTGACTTTTGAAGAGGGAGGGGATTTGTTATCAGCATGCACATATCAGTGGATAGGAAAATCAACAGAAAGATACCCACTTTGCATCTCTTCTGTTCTTCTCAGTCTACTTTTACATTATAAAGCATTTATAAGAACACTCGGGTCTCCTCCTAAGCCCAGAGTCTCTGTAGGGAGGTGGGCAGGTTTTGGCAGGGGTTGGGAAGAGCTCTCCCTAATTCCACTGCCCTCACAATACCCCACTTTCTGGGCCATATGGAGACACGTAGTGTTTGCCAACTATAAATGTCCCCAGCTATGCCTTTTCCTCTTTGAGGTTTCAAGAAAAGTCTGGTGAGTGGCTAGGTCTATGAAACCTTTGTCTTTTATTTTTCTTCTTCTGAAAAGGGGGGATTCTTCTGTGTGGTGACTTTTTTTCCTACGAAGAACCAGATACTGCTTCCCTTAATTTCCTGAGATCATGTTGCCATCGCTTCTGCTTCCTGGCCTCCTGGGTGGGAAGGTGGAGATGGTTACGGCCTTGGCATTTCTGGGTACCTGCATATCAGGTGCATTCTTGCACTTCAGGGCACCTCACCCCACCCCAAGGCAGCTGCCTGTGGGATAGGTCACGTGACCACCATGCAGGTTGTCTTCTTGAGCCTTACAGGACCCTGCATGGTGAAGGTGCTGTGTCCACGTGGCTCATGTCTTCCAGGTTTATGAAGGAAGTTGTGCAGGCAGGTAGATAAGGACAGCATCTTAGAGGGGAAGCGCTGGAGAGGCCTGGAATGCCTTGTTTGGGGGACCTTCACCTTCCATTTCCACTGTTCCATGGGATGTCACTTGGCTTGTTCAACTCACATGGGCAGGTGAGCTGTCCTGAGTTCCATTCTCAGTAGTAAGCTCACAGCCGTGATTGCTTGTTGGCACAGATGTTTTAACAGAAACAGGACTGGCGACTCTGCTCCTCCTTCCTCCCCCACCTGGGACTCACTCTGCACGTGCATCAGTCATGTGGGCTCTCTGGCTGCTGATGCCAAAGCTTCCCATGGCTGTTTGCTGTTATGGTAGGGCAAGAGGTGAGGTCAGGACTCCTTGGCACACCAGGGGATCTGGCTCACAGCGCACTTGGCCTTTCATTATTCAGTCCTTGGCCAGAAACAAAAACATGAGTCAATCTGCCTCTTGATGCCAGAAGGAACTGGAGTTCCCACATTAGCTTTTATTACATTCTTTTCATTCAAGTGTGTCACTTTCCTGACACTTGACATTCTGCCCTCATCGCTAAGATGCAGAAGGTCTCTCGAATGCATTCAGAACTAGCCATGGCAGCAGAGCTACTTCCAAATTCATTTAGTGAAACACAGGCACAAAGGATTCCAGATTTGGAAGGTCCCGATGCAACCACGTGACATGTTCTTCTGTTCTGGTTTTTGTGGGGGTTTGTGATTTTGATGGTGAGAATGTGCACGCCCAAGAGAGGAGTGAATGATATTCAGAATCAAGATGAGAGTAGAGCTCATGCATGGTGAGCATATAGGGATAAGAGAGCAAATTTTACTGGCAGTCATGCTCTTATTCTCCTGTTTATGTATAAGGCAGCCCCCCCCTCCCCCGCCCCCGCAAACTTCAAGCTTTTTCTGGGGAACTTCCTTCTTGACAGCCCCT